AGTCTAAATTGTTTTTGGGTTGTCTAAAGTCAAAATAGTATTTAGACAAAAATGTCTAAACGTCTAAATTAATATAATAGTAATGATTTGTTTTAAATACAACTAAAAGTCACGTGGATATACACAAAATCCACAAAGTATCCAATAAAAAATTCAATTTCAGCATTTTAGACCATGTTTGTCTAAATGTCTAAATTAATTTATATTTTAGACATTGTCTAAATAATTTAGTTTAGACTCCCATCTATATAGTTCATACATTTATATTGGATCTACATGTAATTTCCGAATGCCAAGAAAAGGTTATCCGCATAAATCTGTCTCATTTTTAAATACTTTTATTATTAAAAGTCAATATGACTTTTCAAAATATTAATATAGAAGAGGAACTTGAACATCCACAAATTAAAGATTGGAGTTGGTTGTGGACTGATTACAAATACAGACGAAATCCTACTTTAAGAACAGGTGCTGAATTCAACAGGCATCTCATCAGCACCTATGGTGCATCATTCAAACATTGTCTTAATGAAGCATCTTCAAAGAGTTTAGAGAAACTATTTAAGATTAATCTGAAATCGACTATCGAGAAAAAACTTGAACGAAATTCCCATCCGATTGGACTTGTTATGGGAGCACCGGGTATCGGAAAAACTCGATTTCTTTTAGAGTGTGTTGACCATATTCAGTATAATTATCCGGAGATCTTGGAAAACTATTTAGTTGACCTTGTTGTTATTACCTTTAATTTTCCATACCATTGGGATAAAAATCAAGATTCCGATGCCTGCTTGGGTTTTCAGTTATTGCATGCTATTTTTGCAGATCCAGTACGTAGGTTTGATAATTTTGTTGCTGATTTAACTGATGCCAGTTCGAACAATGTCCATATGACACTTGAAAAGGCAATCAAAATAGCACGTAAAGGTTTGGGTATCCTGGATACAGATAACTGGCTTATAGTAGTAGCCATTGACGAATTTGATCAAATTTTAGATAGATTTGAGGGTGACACTGGCCGCAAATTTCTATCTGAGTTAACTAAAGTTCTTGGAGCGGTTTTATGTCAACCACCTACACAAACCACCGTGATAGGATTACTGGCAGGAACAATGGCAACGACTATGAATGCTATATTCCGTGAATCATCTCATGAGACGATGTCCGTGCGTCTTTCTCCACTCAACAGAATTGAGAGAAGAGAGATTTTGTCATCGTTGGATAAATTTCCACAAAATTGGGAGACATGTCAAAAGTTCAGGGCTTCTTTAGCTGATGTTGGAGGTCTTCCTCGGCTGTTTGAAAAATTTCTTATGGATTGTCAAAAATATATTGATGATAGAATTCCAATCGATGATTGGCCCTACGAAGAAATTATCATACCCGAGGTTAAGTCTTATGCCCGTACAAAATACCTTGCCGGTGCTGTGCCATATGCTGAAAAACTTATTGAAGATACCATTCTCCAAACCCCTGTTTTCCGTGAAAGCATAATAGATCCAACAGAAAAGTTACCTGCTACATATGGCGATCTCGAATCTCGTGCTGATATTCTTCTTGTTGAACAAAATGATAAGACATGTATAGTTACCTTGCCATTTCTTCTTCTTCAATGGCTAGTTCTAGTTAAGGGAGGTCTTTCCAATCCAGCGACAAACTTACTCAGAGACATTATTGATCCTGATAGGGAACATAATACATGGCAAGAATTTGAAGTATTAGTTGCCATGTTTAACGCTATAAAAATAATGTTCTTTTATCAGCGTGAGTCACGAAAAAGATCAAATGGTGATCCTATATTCTTAAGTCTAGAAAAAATTTTTGGTACAAAAGCTCCTTCATATAATATTATACTATCTCAGAATATTAATGTCTGTAGATCTCGTGAGCAATTTCCACAGAAGAAAAAAATCGCTGACACCAGGACAAGAGAATATATAAAATGGGAAGAAGATGGTCCTATAGTTTTAAATGGTATATCGGCAAACTTTGCAGATATTTTCACGGTTAGAAAAACATATGATACTTCTCTTGTTAGTAATGATCATAATTATTTGATGATATGCGAACAGTGTAAACAAGATTTCACAGATACGAAACTAACAAAAAAAAGGATTGAAAATGAGATCTCAAAAATATACGAAGCTATCAAAAAGCATGCTCCCAAGTACAAAGAATGTTGGATGCTCATAATTTATAGCACACAAAAAATAGAAGAAAAAATTGATCACGAAAGATGTATAGTTCTTGACAGCATAGGAATGGAACGCCATTTTGGTTCAGCTTTGGCAGAAAGAGTCTTTTCTATGCTAGAAAATCAAAAAATTAATACCAATAATTTTGAAGTTGATGAATCCTGTGGAATTGGAACTTCAAATAATATGGTTAAAGAACAACGAAATAGTCTAACCAATATTTACGGGTGGAATGATTTAAAACGTCGCATTAGTAAAATTCCCAAAATTTGAAAGATCGTTTCGAATCTTAGAAATTAATTTATTATGATATGTATAAACTATCTCCGTATAAATCACCATGATTACAATTATAAAATTATATATTTTTAATAATATTTATTAATTGCGACCGAATTGCTTCGTGAGATCACTGAACGCTTGTATGAGATTATGCAAGAATATTATTCTTACTATTGCATAATATTATAAGCGTGAAATGTAAGTTTTATACAAAACTTCATGGCGCACTTCCCTATGGAAAATAATTCTGTTTTTACTATACGGAAAGCACCCAATATTTTATCTGAAAGGACATCTTTTTGTATTTGTATGGGAAAATTTATGGAAAACTTATTATTATTATTATTATTATTATTATTATTATTATTATTATTATTATTATGGAATTTACGGAAAATATAAATTCCATACTAATACTAATACTAATATTAATACATTCCTATATGTTTCCGTGCATTTACGGTATATTTTAGAACAAAGGGAACATTTTTCATACAAAAAGATATGAAAAAGCGCTCTTTTCAGGTAAAATTCTGGGGCATTTTCCGTACCTCCTCCATATATTTTTCATGCAAAATTTTATAGGGATAGCAACAAAGAAAATTTTATGTGTGAAAAATTATAGGGAATATATATACATGTTATTATTAAACATATATGTATGTGGTGGTGGTGACTATTATAGCTATCCTGGTTTACAAACAAATAAATTTACAAATGACTAGAGAATTAATTGATTTTTTAAGGGCAAATGCAGTGTTTTAACACGAAAGTTTTAAATATTATTATTGTATTACTCAGAAAATGCTTTATACAAATCAGATTTCATTTGGAGTTGTCAACACATCATAATGCAAGGTATTGTATTATATAATAAATAGCCATTTAAAATGTTTTTTATAATAAATTGCGAATCCTTTACCTGTTACCTTCGTAAGCTTTCATGAATAAATAATCAGAATTCTTGTTCGCTTATTAGGAAACGACTTGATAAACACACATTGATGTTTTCTTTTCTTTTTAATTTTATTATAGAGCCGTAAGCTGTTGTCGTGACCGAAGAATTGGCTACTCCAGGAAGTATAGTCACATTTGTCTATTTGCATGCCGTATATTTGCATAATCTGTTCATTTGCATAAATATAGCTCAGTTCCATATCAGGACTTATAAACTACTTGCATAATGTAAGCATGCATATGCATCAAAAGTGATCCTGATACTACTAAGTCCCACAAACATATGTATATTATAAAAAGAAAGATCAATACGACATTTTTATTTATTTTTCATTCAAAAAAATCATTAATAGTACTTTGTTTCATAGAATCAGAATAAATCTTTTTAATAGTATTATTTACACTAGTTAACTTTTTAATTTCGTTCGAACAATTTTTAGGCTGCTGTAAAAAAAATGTCAATGAATCATCAGGAATGTTAAACAATTTTGCAAATAACTTGGCTTTCTCGGTTACTATCAGGGAATACGACCTTGTGAGATTACGGGGATTTTTTTACAATGGTTTTTGTAGTGGGTTTGTTTCATTACCTAAATACTCAAATGAACGTTTTAATGTTCAGAAAATAATTACTTGATCAACTTTTACACCAAATTCTTGTTCACACCAATCAATTAATTCTTTTTGGGTTATTTTTTGATCATCTTGCTTTTCAAACAGATTTTATAAACGTTGCTGATTGTTTATTTAACCTTTTTCATTGTAAATATAAAGGACAAAGTATGATATTCGTGTAAAATTCAAAAATTTTATTAATATTATTTAATCACGACACTATAATTTTTTACATGTAATTTGTATCATGTGATTTCATGTTAACAATCATGTGATAACATGAACATTATTTCATAAAAATTCATTTGTCCCAACAGTATGCAAATAGACAGGTACGACGAATGTATCAATAAAACGAGTAGAACTCACGAGTTAAATAGCCTTACAAGCTATTTTGGACTGAGTCGCAAAAGTGGTTTGGCACCTACAAAAATATACATTTGGGTTGTAAGTGGCAAACTATAGAACAATTATATAGAAGATAGTATAAATTATCCACCATTAGTGCGGGGCACAAAAAAACCAATTTAGAGACGGAATTAATTTTTGTTTGTTGGTTTATAAATAAATAGATTAAAAGTGTAATTCTAATATCAAATTCATTATAACGTGTTAAATGGATTGGGCGGATTAAAATTGTATGTTTGTGTATGACAAAAAAAATATAATAATAAATAAAGTCAATAAAAATCAATAATAAAAATTAAAAAATGGATAATAATTATAATAACAATAATATTGATATTTTTAACATTAATAATAAATCCGATGACCGTGATGACAGTATCAATGACCAAAACGCTGTTATTTCTCATTTGAATATTATTAATCAATACCCGGTCGCTAATAATCTAGTTACAAGTAATCAAAACGTCAACGACGATAATCAAGTTCATAGAAATATGATTTATAATCAACATATTAATCAAAATTCTGGAGAAATATATCGAAACGTCGGTAATAATAATTACATGGCTCATCAAAACCTTGAAGACATTTATCAAAACGCTTGCAATGATGATTACATTCGTCAAACCATGATTTATAATCATCAAAATAATTTCGTTACCGAACCGAACTCAGATAATATCACGAGTATTAATCGTCAGAATTCTGTTGATTGCAATTTCGTTAATCAAAATAATTCAAATAATCATCAAAATTATACTGTCGTCAATAATTTCGCCGACAACAATTTGACCAGAGACCAGAAATTAATTTACATCACATCCCTACTTCAAAATATCCAAAATGTTGTAAATCAATTGCTGGATGACAATAACTGATAGGTTAGTATCAATGTTAAAAGGCAAGATCGATTAAATAACAACATTGATAATGATATCAATTAATTAATTAATTCATTTATTATGTTTAGTCATTTTTTACACAGGTGAGAAAATCAAATTTTACTTGGAATGTAAATTTTAACTTTTTATATTTCTATTTTATTTTCGGGTTGTTATTATTTTTATTCTGTTATTGTTATGTTTTTTTTATTTGTTACACGGTATTTTTTATTCTTTACTATTTTAGTCAATTTAGAAATGGAATTTATTACGCGCTAGTACTAGTATGAATAAAGAATTATTAAATATGTATGTATATCAAAATAAATGAATGTAACTTAAATTCCCCTCCTCTTCATATCTCTGTAATCCAGCAGAATGCATCTGATTTAATCTGTGGTATTCTTTTAGAGCAGTAGTAGGGACTTTTATCTGCTCGATAATTACATTGTGGAATAAATATTCAAAAGATCTATTAAACATCTTGAATCCCAAACAACAACCAAATCCTATCTCATTCCACCTCGCCACATTAGTTTTTGTACCGTTTTTTACTGATCTAATTTGTGAATAAGATCAAGACATTTTTTTTTGTTATACGTTCGTGAACAAAAAGGACGAGCCTTCACAGTCCAAAAATTCAACAAACACAAAGATGCTATTATGTATTTGTTAAAGATGGTGGTGTCATATACTTCAAGAGTTCAATTCCCCTTCAAAATTATTTTTCATCGAACACTAGGTTTAACTCTAACATCCATTTCAACTCTCAGATATTTTCTCCTGCAAAGCATGTGTTGCTCTTAGTATATAGGTGTGTCTCTTGGGCAAGTAATTTCGTGGATAAGAATGCCTTTATTACTGACAAATCTATAATCAAAGAATATAAAAGATTAGAAAAAAGGCCTTTACAAATATAACAATAAATAAATTATTCATTTCCCAATAATTAAAAAATAATATTTTCCTTCTTTTTTTTTTAACCATAGTTTAAAAAAAATTTTCACGTGTCATAAAACATTCCTCTAGATAATTTCGAAAAATTATTATAGAAATTTGGATCAACTTTAAGTTCTCGCTTGAAAGAGCAGAGTAAAAAGTCACGTTTATTTTCTTTAGAGAGTAAGCAAAGGTTAAACTAACATTGGTTAGTTAATGAGTGTTAGTGATGGTTGGTAAAGTACTGTCCAAGATTTAATTGGTAATGTTATTGTAATCGTAAATGTAAAATAATGACCAAGAAATATGGCAATGAAATAAATCGATCATAATAAAACTTTATAGAAGCCCTTGAGCTTTGTAAAGGACCATCTTTATTTATTTAAAGTTACCTGGCTCATTAAGTATGCTCACACAGGTTTGTCTAGATGCAGTAATCGAGAACCAAAGTAAATTCGTAAACTAATTAATTTACAAGCGCCAAATTATTGTGAATTGCTTGCAATTAATTAACTGGCAAGAATGGCCAAATTTAAGCCATAATCAGCCATATTTGTTAAATAATCAGTATTTATTGAAATGATACCTCACAATATCACCATTTAACAAGAATAAAAAAAAAACTGTGAAAGTTTATTATTATTATAATTTAGTTTTAATAAATAAAATAAAGATAAAATAAAAAATACAATGAATAAATAATTTATAGTAGGAGGTTAAATCAGCCATTCATCAATCCTTTCCTCGCTAGAATCTAATTAATTAAAAAATATTGTTAGTAATAATTAATGGATAGTAATTTCCAAAATTAATTAATAATTATTCACCTTCAACGTTTAAAAGAAGAGAATGAAAATCAAGACTATTTAATGGACAATCATTATTTATATAACCTTTTAAGCTTTTAGATTTAGCAATCTCATTATCTAAGATTCTACTTGTATGGTATGCAGCTGGATGTGATTTGTGTACTTGTTGTGAATCACTACTAATACCACTATTACTATTACTACTACTATTATTACTATTACTATTACTACTACTATTATTACTAGTACTAGTACTACTACTATTATTACTAGCACTATTACTACTACTGGTATTATTTCTAATAATTTCATTACATTTACTCCAAGAAAATAGATAAACCTCTTTAATGGTTGGTCTTTTTGATGGATCCGCATCCCAACACCTCTGCATCATTTGCACATAATCATCAGGAATTCCATGTATTATTGGTGGTCGTAAGCCTTCACATATATCAAAAATTAAACAATGATTATGAGGTTTATCATCAAATGGTGGACGACCTGCAAATATTTCCCACATTAACATCCCAAGACTATAAATATCTGTTTCTTTTGTGTTCTTTGCATTAATTTTGCCTCCAAGTAGTTCGGGTGCAACATATGGTATAATTCCATAGATTTTATTTGATGATTTTTCATCAACTGGTCCACATAACCCTAAATCTGTAATATAACAACCACCTCCTTCCAATAATATATTACCACTATGTAAATCACAATGGACTAAATCTTTCTGATGTATACAGTATAATGCATCACATAAACATTTAAAGATTGTAATTCTGTCTTTTAACTTTAAACAATTGTTTCGTAAATAATCTCTTAAATTTCCTTCTGGTTTATAATTTAAAACTATTGCATAATTTCCACTATCTGGAAATCTAGTTATACCATGACAATTAACAATCGTTGATGATTTAATTTTACAATAATTCATTGCCTGAAATAAATATAAAATCAATTAGTATCACATAATAGAACATTGTTTATTATTTTTTTGTTTTAATGACAATTACCAACCTCATCAAAAAATGCTTTCCCTGGATTACTTGAATTATTTAAACTTTTTAATACTGTTTTCTGCCTTCCAAAATAACTAAACTCCTTTTTATCTTCATCATAATCAAATATATAACCTCTTATCCATGCAGCAGTATAAATTGAACTAAATCCACCTTCCGTCAACTTTGTTACTTTTTCAAATTGCTCAAAAGGTATCCATTCTAAAATATAGTTTGGCAGAGATGATTTGATTTGACTTTGTTGAATAAAATCATCAATTATCTTATTTCCAGATGTCCAAGTGGTGAAAAGACTCTGTAATCGTAAACTGATACAACCTTCACAGAACCTATCAGAGTATCTTGTCAATTTGCACTTGTTGCATTCTTTCGGTTCCCCCTCTTTATTTTTTACATTTTTAGATTCAAAGTTATAAATAAACCTTTGCCTACAAAATTCTTTTTCTTTTTCAGAAAGTTCCTTGTTTTCTTTGACCAATGAAAAAAAATAATCTTTTCTATTTTCTTTATCAGAATTAACATTAGCATTATTATGTATTTCAATATAAATTTTTAATACAAATTTTTTTCTTTCTAGTGATGATGGTGATAATAATTTAACAAATGACATTATAAAAAATATGAAATATAAATTTGACTTGATGTTTTAATGAATAGAGTGGGGAAAACGAGAGGTATTTTTAAAATAACAGTTACATTATTTCCTTTTTCTTTAGAATAATGTGTAACAAACAATTATCTCGCAACATTGGTGGTGATGATGATAATCTTAAAATTGAAAAATAAAATTTGCATTATTTAAAGAACAACTTTATCATCACCAAACTCTAGTTATTGTTCAACAATAAAACAATAAAGGAATTTCGGCATTCTTTTGTTTTCTATTTTTCTCACTTTCATTGATTAGCTATTTTGTTTCAAACTAAGACACTAAAGTCATCTCAAGTGCATTTAATAAATTTCGAAAAAACATCAAGTTAGCACAACTCGTATGTATATTAAAGTTGCTCTACATACCAATATTCACTTGCCTGAAAATGCGTTTTGATTTTTTTTCCGTGTTATAAAAAAAGAAATATTAGTAATAGTTATTATGATTGTATTGTAACGGTTTAATTTCAACTAGGTTGAAATTATGAAAACATTCGCGATTTTACGTTGGTTTCTTTGTTTACAAAAACAAAGCGTTGTTAATATTTAATATAACATTAGACATTAATGTTCAATATTTGAAACACGAGATCAAAAAAATAAAGTAAATGTTGATGTCATATTTGCGTGTTTACACTTCTAATTTTTTTAAAAAAATATCTTTATTAACACAAGATAAACAAAAACACAATTGTGGGGAGTAAGCACACAATTCACGTACAGACTGCAGATATATGTAGAATATAATTTTTTTCTATAAAATCTGATTTGTTAGGAATAATGCAGATAATTCAATTTGAAATAGGTTACTCTTCTACTTTTAGTTTTTTTTTTCCTAAGTAATTCTACGGTTTTGTATAATGTTTTTTTATTGGTTACGATTTTTCTATATACTTCTTGATAAAGTCCATAGGTAATCTTTTAGCATCAGAGTATTTTGAAAACATACGAGGCAATTTTTTCTCCTTATTCATTCTTCAAAATCCTTCAGTTATTCAACTGAAAAACAAGCGATGTTTGTTTGTATCGAATTTTGAATACTATATGATTCTATTTTTTTTAAAAAAAAATCTTTTGATTCATCACTATCTATTTGTGCATTATTTTGTCCAAAGAGAGTTAAGAGCGGCAGTTTCAAAAGCTTTTCGGTTTCATTTATTGAAACAATAGTAATAGGAATGGTTGTACTACTTAAATAACATCTTCCTCTTCAATTTGATCCAAAGAATCAAGAATTTCCTCATTAATCTCATCATCCTGATGTTTTCTTATATGCAGTGCGCATTTTATTGCCTTGCACACATGCTTTACTTTTCCAATAAAGGAAATAGCTTTTCAGTATCAGTTGCGCTACAAGTTAATATTCAATTTTAAGCCTGGAATGGAGGCTGTTGATAATCCATGAGTTGGTTTTATTTTCCAATAAAGATCTATCTCATTGCAATTAAAAATATCCTCTTTTCCACGATTTTTATGAATATCTTTCAATTCTTTTCTCGTCCTAGGAAGGTGCATTTTAGATTCCTCATGTTTATTCTTTTTCTACTTGAATTTATCAAGCCAAGCAGACAACGCT